GAGAGAGAGAGAGAGAGAGAGAGAGAGAGAGAGAAAGAGAGGAGGCACAGAAAGAAAGGGAGACACAGAATCTGAAGCAGGCTCCAGGCTCTGAGCTGTCAGCACAGAGCCCGACGCGGGGCTTGAACTCAGACTGCGAGATCATGACCTGAGCCGAAGTTGGTCGCCTAACCAACTGAGCCACTCAGGCGCCCGGGAATTGGTTTCTTGAAGAAGGCGGGGTACATTTTTTTTAATTCACACAGAGGTAAAGGGCTAGGGTTGGCTTCGAATTCTGGGTTTCTTTGGGCTTTTCTGAGTCTTCCTGACACCACACTCAGCATTCCTGCTGGTCCACCCATTCTCATAAGTCTCCAGTGTCTCCCCTGCCTGCTTCACCTCTGTTCTCTTTTTCTCTCTTTCTAGAAATACTGCCTGGTGACCAGCAGGTGAGACTGACTTGGCTCTTCCCCTTTTCCCAAATTGCCCTAGTCTTCAGGGACACTGGCCGGCCAACCCTCTAACTACAGGAAGCTCACACACCCCCATTCTGTCCACCTTGATCTCCCTGCATTTGTGTTGAGCACAGAAAGGAACCTGACCTGGTCCTTCTCCTCAGGCACCTCCCAGACTGGCGCTGGGGACAGATGTGGGCAGGGACACAGCTTAGTGCTGTGTGGCAGGAAAGGGGTGGCCGGGGAAGGCTTCCCAGTAGAGTGCACATTTGGTGGGCCACTGGAGGAATGACAAGGAGAGGTGAAGAGCTGGGGGAAGAGGTGCTACAGGCAGAGGGAACAGCAGGTGCCAAGACTGGTAAGAGGGAGAGAAGACAAAGTCGGTGTGGTAGATGGGAGCAGACTGAAGGGCTGAGGAGTGTGGACCTTATCCCAACAAAAGGTTCTTCTTAAAAAAAAATTACGGTATAATATGCATGATATAAAATTTTCCATTTTAACTATTTTTTCTTTTTAGTGTACATTTTAATTTCAGCGGCATTAAGTATGTTGCCACCACCTCTCTCCAGAACACTTTTGTCTTTCCAAACTGAAACTCTGACAGAGTGTTAGGGCAGGGTATGATGCAGGAGAGATCCTGGGACTCCACACCATGGCCCCTGTCCTCCTCTCTTTGGGATAACATCTCTTGTCCCCCTCACCCCCACCCCATGCCTCCTCCAGGAAGTCCCCCCACAGACACCTCCCCCCACCTTTCCCTCCCTGCTCCAGGCTACAGAAGATCCTGGCGGAATCACCACCGCCTGCCCGGCTGGACATCCAGCTTCCTGTCATCTCAGATGACTTCAAATTCCAGGTGTGGAGGAAGATGTTCCGGGCTCTGATGCCAGGTACTGGGAGGTGCTATCTCCGGGTTTCTGTTTGTAACTGTGTGGTTGAGGGGAGGCTCCAGCTACACACAGAGAAGCCTCAGTCCCAACTTGGGGAAGTCATCAAAGAAGGTACCCATTGCCCCGTTACTTCTGGGGTTTCCCCTGAACCCTCATAACATGTGCTCAGAGAAGGAACTTTGAGGGCATGGGGTTTACGGGTGGGTGACTGACATGGGGAGGACTCTGCCTACTAAAAAGCTGCTGCTGCTGGCAAGGAGGGGAGGCTAGGGCTGGGGGTTGAGCCTTGGTGATCCCTGGTCAGTTCCTGCCCCTTCTGGACAGTGGAGATGATAATCCCTGCTAGGTGGAGGCTGAGGATCTGCATTGCTGGCACCCTGGGGGACTGGCCAGGGCCAGACACTGACTCTGGTGGCCTGTGGCTGGGGAGGCCCAAGGGCTCTCTGCTTCCTTTCCGTGAGAGCCAGATTGCTGTGAGGTGCCATAGATTGTAGAACTCCAGGACTCATATACATGGCTGGCTCAGCCCTAACTGCCTTGAGGGGAAGTGGGAATGGAGGTGGGTTCTGTTTTATCCAAGGCAAGACTAAGGCCCAGAGACTGGCTCAAGACTGACTGAAGTCACACAGCTGGGTGAGGTGGGGACTGACCTAGGACCAGGCTTCCTGACTCTCTCCTGCTTTGTGACCTGGGCCTCAGATACTGACTTAAATGCCTTGCATCCACATACTGACTTAAATGCCTTCCTGCTGTGGAGGAAGTCAGTTATGGCTTTGTTTTTCAGCTGAGCAGACTGAAGCTCAGAGAGGTACAGTCTTTGGCCCAGGCCAGAAGCGGAAGGGGCTCACTAACCAAAGATATTGGGGGGATTAGAGCAGACAGGCCCCTAAATTGGTTGGGAGAAGCTCACAGGAGGCAAACATGTAAGGGTCTGACCACTCTTCCCCTGGCAGCTATGAAGGAACTGACCTTTGACCCGAGCACGGCCCACCCGAGCTTGGTGGTGTCTCCCTCCGGCCGCCGAGTGGAGTGCTTGGACCAGAAGGCGCCCCCGGCCGGAGAGGACCCGTGCCAGTTCGACAAGGCCGTGGCGGTGGTGGCACACCAGCTGCTGTCTGATGGCGAGCACTACTGGGAGGTGGAAGTGGGCGATAAGCCACGCTGGGCACTAGGTGTGATCTTGGCCCAGGCCAGCCGCCGAGGCCGGCTGCACGCTGTGCCCTCGCAGGGCCTCTGGCTGCTGGGGCTACGCGAAGGCAAGATCCTGGAGGCGCATGTTGAAGCCAAGGAACCGCGCGCGCTGCGCACCCCGGAGAGGCGGCCGTTGCGCATTGGGATCTACCTGAGCTTTGGCGATGGCATCCTCTCCTTTTATGATGCCAGCAACGCTGATGCCCTTGAGCAGCTCTTTGCTTTCCACGAGCGCCTGCCCGGGCCTGTGTACCCCTTCTTTGACGTGTGCTGGCACGACAAGGGCAAAAATGCTCAGCCGCTGCTGCTTGTGGGGCCTGATGGTGAGGAGGCCTGAGCTGCCTGCCAGATTGGGGAGGGGTGCAGGGTCCTGCAGGCCTGGAAGGAGATGGGTGGGCAGGGGACAGGTTGCGAGGGCTGAAGGCAGGGCCAAGGGGGTTGGGGACTGGGAACTCGGGACTCCAAAATTTCTGAGAAGTTAAGGGTTTCAGGGGCTGGGTGGCTGCGGGGAAGGAAGATCTAAAGTCAGGTCAGTGAGGAAATTCCAGTTTGGGAACCAGGAAGCCCAAGGATTCCAGGAAGAAATTGAAGTTCAGGGGAGGAGTGAAAAGGGCAGGAATATGGGGAAAGGAGGACTGAAGAACTCTGTAGAGCAAGGAGCCCCTCATATTCACCTCACATTCCCCTCCTTCTTGGTGGCCTTGGGGCAGGGGTTCCAGATTCACCATACAGAAAGATCTTTCACTTAGTGGTTCTCCAACTTGGCCAGGCATCAAAACCACATTTTCAAAGCATGTAACAGTGACTTGTTAAAGCAGAGTGTTGAGTTTCTGGTTCACTAGGTCTGGGGGCAGACCAAAATTTAGTTTTTGTAACGAGTTCCTAGGGTGATGCTCTTGCTGCAGGTTACAAGTGGGGTCACCTGGAGAACTGCTGACTTAAGACACTGGTCTGTTCAATCAGCTTCCGTTATACGGAGTCAGTTATCGATAACTATTAGCTCTCAGGCATAGGAAAACCACAATATATTCCTCTGGAGATCAACAGCCATTTGAAAACTGCCAGAGCCCATGCAAGTGAATAAACTGATCCCCAACTATTTCTCTCTGCCTCTGGAATATATTTACTGAGTGTCTTGGACGTTGAAGAAATACCCCAAGTTGCCAACCAAGAGGAAAAGCCTGATGTTAACTCCAGCCTGGGCCCTGCTGCTTGTGGAGAATAGAAAGCTATTCCCCTATCCCTCCACCCATTGGCCCCTCACTGCTTACTTCCTGGTTCACACATTCTTTGGTTTTAGCTCAAAGGCCCATTTCTTGGACTCTGGAGTAACCACTGACGCCCAGAGAGTCCCTCTTACTTGGAGAGGCCTTGGGGGACTCAGGCAGGTGGGATTAGAGGCTACTGCCCCTCCTGTCATGAGAGAAGTTGATGGTGTGGGGCCATTTGCTCTCCCAGGTCAGGGATGCTGCTGCTGATGTGTGAAAGGGCCTGGGGAGTCCTGGAAACTGGTGCCAATATGGGAATTTTCTTGGGGGTTAGAGAGAAAAGAAAGTGGGTAGGATAAGGGAGGCCTCAAGGTCTGGCTGTGTCTCCCAGAGGAATAGGTCTGGGGAGAAAGGATTAATTTGAGAAGTTGTTTCATGATAGAAAGTAAAATAAAAGTTAGTTGGTTGTGAAATCCAGTGGCATTAATAGAGATGATTATATTCAGACTCTTTCCCCATTAAATCTGTGTGAAAGACAAATGACTTATCGCCAGGCCTAGTAACCTCCTTATTGTCCACCTGGCTTTCATTCTTGACCCATTTAATATTTCTTTAATTTTTTTTAACGTTTATTTATTTTTGAGACAGAGAGAGACAGAGCATGAACGGGGGAGGGTCAGAGAGAGACACACACAGAATCCGAAGCAGGCTCCAGGCTCTGAGCTGTCAGCACAGAGCCTGACACGGGGCTCGAACTCACGGACCACGAGATCATGACCTGAGCCGAAGTCGGACGCCCAACTGACTGAGTCACCCAGGCTCCCCGACCCATTTAATCTTTCTAAAAACACAAATGTTGTCCTATGATCCAGTTGCTCAAAACTTTCAAAAACTCCTTGCTGCCTGCAAGAAAAAGCCCTAGATATTTGGCCCTGCATCTGAGATACCCTGCTATTCTCCAGCCTCATCTTGTGCCACTTTCCTGCATACATCTTCACTCTGGCCCTACTGAACTCCTGGGGTCCCTGCAGCACCAAAGCACACAACTATCTGTTAGGAATGCCTTTTGCCTCTCACTCACCCTACAGGAATTTCCCCCAAACCACCTTCTCCTATCCTCTCTTGACCTCAGCACGTCTTTGCAAGGTGCATTCCATTGCACTCCCTGTCATGAGCTGGTGATGTCCAAGAGCCCAAAGCCACTTTCTGAGGAATTGGGTACTTTGAGAAACAGATGTCAAGACAGCATTAAATGTGCAAGGATTTTATGAAGGAAGATGCCCATGTGGGAGCAAATGGGGCTGTCAGATTGTGATGCCAGTCTGACCCTGAGTGAAGGAGAGACAGCAGGAAGGTTGGGTGGCAGTGTCCTCAGTAGTTGTGGGGGTTTCTCTACAAGCTACCTGTGCAAGGAGGCTGCGTGTGCTCAGAAGGGGCCTGCCTTTGTGTCCCTGCCATGCTCTGTTACTGCCGGGAGCAGCCTATGGGATGGCTGTCACAGCTCTTCAGCTGCTGCCCTCAGTCTTTGCTCCCCTTTGTTGGAGTTCTATCAGGAAAATTTCTTTTCACACCCTCCACAGGTTCCTTCTACATAAAGTTACCCTGGCTTGAGCTTGTGCATTGAGGGAAGTGACCTTGTGACATGGTCTGTGGCTGCCTGAGTGAGAGAGGGGGTCCCTGAGGCAAAGGCTGTCATGATGGGGCAAGTTTGTGGGAAACTTTGCCTAGTTAGAACGTTCCTTTTTGAGTGGTGGCCACCTGACCCATCCAGAATCTCCCTGGTGATGTTGGAAGGTAAAATGGGAAACCAGAACTGGGTCCCCCCCGTACTTGTGTCTCAAAAGATCAGAATCTTCTCCTTTAGTACTCCCCGCTCATGGAGACTCTGGAAATCCAGAGCAACTGGCTGCTGAGAGGTTTCCTGAGCCTCGTGACTTCTTGTGTACAAGAACAAACTGGCACCCGTCAAGGCCATGCTAGACTGCAAGCAAAACCCTTTATCAAGAGCTTGTTACTTGATATGTGTCCTCACAGCACTAGGCTTCACAATGACAAATGCCTGACCAGGCTCTGTTGCCTCTTTCCCCGAAGTTCAAGTAACCCCTGGGAACATGATGATATACCATGAAAGACCCAAATTCACAGGTACATGATGAATCTTGGAGTATCAACTTTACACTAAGATTATTATTCTTTTTTTAAAAAAATGTTTATTTTTGAGAGACAGAGAGAGAGAGAGAGAGGCATAGAGAGAGGGAGACACAATCTGAAGTAGGCTCCAGGCTCTCAGCTGTCAGCACAGAGCCTGACACAGGGCTTGAACTCACGGATGGTGAGATCATGACCTGAGCCGAAGTCAGACGCTTAATCGCCTAAGCCACCCAGGTGCGCCAAGATTATTATTATTCTTGGTATGGTGGTGGTGAGAAAGTTGTGTAATTTAACCAATAAGTAAACATTGCAGACATCAGGTTTGTATTAAAACAAACATATATATACTTCTATTCTCAAGTTAGTTAACCTACAGTGTAGTCTTGGCTTCAGGAATAGGATCCAGTGATTCATTACTTACATACAACACCCAGTGCTCATCCCAACAAGTACCCTCCTTTTTTTTTTTTTTAGTATATGTGCTGCCAAAGCCAGCACCCAAGAAGTGCCCTCCTTAATGCCCATCATTCAATTCTCCACCATCAACCCTCAGTTTGTCCTCTGTATTTAAGAGTCTTTTATGTTTTGTCTCCCTCTCTGTTTTTATCTTATTTTTCCTTCCCTTCCCCTATGCTCACCTGTTAAGTTTCTCAAATAAAACAAACATATTATGGAGTACAGAATTGACATGAATTTTTGAGATTAAATAAGACATATTCACAAACTTTTGCATTTGTACTGGCTGTAGGGATCTAGATCCTCAGGGATGTGAATTCTTAAAATTATTTTTAAAAATTAAAAAAACAATGCACAAATATACTTAAGAGTATCTTACAGACAAGGGGAAATTTCTTCAACCATGTTCCCCTCCCCTCCCCATTCCTAATTACTTCTCTTCCTCCCTCATTAGAAATAATGTCTGTTGTCAATTTGGTGAGTAGTTTTCCAGGATTTCCTGTACATATATATGTTTCACAGAAAATATACAGTATTATGCTATTCTTTCTATATAAATGATGTTATATTCTACATGAATATGACATTTTTTTAATTTTAGAGAGAATGAGAGCACAAACAGGGGAGAAGGGCAGAGAGAGAGAGAGAATCTTTAGCAGGCTCCATACTCAGCACGGAGACCAATTTGGGGCTCGATCCCATGACCCTAGGATCATGACCTGAGCTGAAATCAAGAGTCAGATGCTCAACTGACTGAGTCACCCAGGTGCCCCATGTCTGCAGCTATTTTTAGAATGTGGGGCAGTGTTTCAAACACATGCTATCCTTAGCTTTGG